TTATAGGAAAACGATATATTATGCAAACGAAAGATCATATACATAAACTGTAATGGGGTTTGGGACGACCAGTGTAAATGTGTAAGTAAGGAAACTGATATTGTTGGTTCGTCTTGCCATCAATCTAACCGAGAAAGTACTGCATCAAATGGTGTTAAAGATTATTTTATTCAAGCTGTTCACCATGGTTTATCTACACAAGACCAAATTAATCAACTGGCAAAATAATTTGAAAACTGATTGACCGCCAACTGTTCATCAAGTTTCTCCAAAATGTTAACAAGAAAATGTTGATAATTTCTAATTTTTTCAGTTTTTATAAGTTTAATTGAAACTGTTATTTTGTAATTTTTTTAATTCGTATGGAATAAATCCTTTCGACTATAAAATTGAAATGTGTAGCGCTAACATAGGTAAAATCTCAAAATCGCACATACCGTAGAGGAAAGCAGGGATTGAACTAAGTATTGTGATGCCTTACAGTGCTTATTTTAGTTCCTCTCCAAAAAAATATCATTAATATAGTCTATTTAGAAATATGAGTAAAAATGCTTAATATTCATTATCACCATTCATTTTCTCAAACGAGAAAGTAGCTAATCAGTTCATATGATAGAAGTCTACTAGCTCAGTCTTGTCAATCTTCATCAATGTGCTATTCGACACAAAGACAATGGTATCATTGATGGTTGAAAAAATGGAAAAATGTTGCTTACTTTCTAAGATCATACCTTAACGTTAAGAGAAATCTTGCTCATGGGTTGGATGCATGCGAAATGACTCAAGATTACTGAATGTAATCCATCGAAAATCTCACGTGTTTGTCTTCATAATCATTATCTTTTGGAAAAAATTTCTGGGCAGAATTCAAGGAAGAACAGTGATTTATGAGTTTTATGAGACCGAAAGTCGCAGAATACGACCGAAACTCAGTTGAAAAGATCGATAAAAACTCGTGGTTTTTCAAAGTCGCCTTTTGATCTCAGTGATTCGCTGTTTCAATGTTATGCCATCTCGTGAAAGTAACCTTAAATATAAACTACTTCGGTTTTGGAAGATATATCATACCTAATTAAGGATGTTTTCGAGAATAAAAAAACTGATATTCTTTTGATTCCGTTCGTGCTCTACAGCATTTTCAAAAGGCGATTTCTATCCTGTCGCCGTAGCACAAGAAACTGTCCCGCTTCTATAAATGCTCAACTTTTCAAAATCACAACATTAACTTTGTGAGCTATCGATTGTGCATAAAAAGAAACTTTCTAGAACAAAAGCCATACTCTTAAACAGTTCTTCAGTACATCACTCCATTTTTTTCTAGTCTTCTATCATGTGATAGTTTTTGTTCAATTATTAATAAAATATGTTGATAGTCAAGTACAAGTCATTGATATCTATTTTGAACTAATATTGTGAATAGCGTCTGAAATATAAAAAACAGACGACAAGTTTCTCTCTTATCATGGATATAGTCGAAAAAGGTTTTTAGATTCGAGACCGAGACTGTGCCTCGTAGCTCATGATTGTAGTCTATTACAAAACCAACATATTCGAAATTAATCAATTTCAATTGAGTCTGGAAGAACTTTTTTCATGATTGAAACAGTGTATATTTCCATGTTCTTCCTTTCACGCTTCTCGAAGACAAGCTTAAAACGTATTTCAAAAGTTACTGTCATTGTCTTGATTTAATCCACATTTTATTGATAAAGTACAAAAAAAAATTTCATTTGAAAACCAAAAGCAATGTTTAGTAACTCGGGACCTATTGATCAATATTAATATCTATCAAATTTTGTTAGTCAAAAAACTTCTCTGCTAAATTACATAAATTTTTCAAGTCTTGTTCACATTTTTTTGCCAATTGAATAGGTGTTGCCTGAAATTCAATTGTATCTTGTGTTGAAATTTTATCACTTGTCTTTTCTGTAGAAATACGTGTAACATGATAAAAGGTCCAGTCGAGATTTGTCAATGTATCAAATTGACTTTGATATGATTTTCGTTGACTTAAAAAAGCATAGTCACAACGAACCAATCGTTGTAAAGAAATAATTTGTACGCTTGGTTTAAATTGTTCACTGACGATTGAAATTTGTGGACTTCTACCTGTTAAAATATCTAGTGAGTTAGGATCTTTGAATAATGATTTCAAATAGTCAGAGAATGACTCATGTTTGGAATCGATTTCGTTGGTTGTACGTCGAATTTCATAGTAACTATCCATAAGTTCTTCACCATCTCGAACAGCACAAATCCACTCTCGAGAAGTAAAAAAAATTTTCTTTAATTTCTTTTTATCATCGAATATGAGCGCTATATCGCTTGGTGCAATATCGGAACATTTACAGACAAGAACATATACTGCTGTTGATTTGCTAGATGGTTCCTAGAATAAAAATTAAAAGATTTTTTTTGTTATATACTAAATAAGTGTCGACACTCACATGTTCTTCTGTAACAGTTTTGATATCAGATTCTCTAAACGAAAATTCAATATCATTATTATCTTTAATTCGTTGAGTAAGTTCTTTAATATTTTTTGGTTTTGTATCATCCGTTGCTTGAGGAATTCTTATATTAAGTTCACCCCATAATATTACAAGTGTTAATTTAGGATCGGCCGAAAATGATGATGTTTCTCTTCGGTCGAGCATAACACTAACTATTTTATCCACTGCATTATCTTTACTGTTTCCTTTTGCATCCAGATCAACTGTAAAAGTATTGCTACTTGTTTGAACCCATTTAAGCCGATTGGTTATTGCTGTCATACCATTGAAAACAATATTTCGATTGAGAACATTCTCAGAAATAAAAGAAGGATTTGGTGATGGTTGCGGTGAAACTGATGGCGCACCAGAATCGATTAATGTAATTGATTTATCGGACGTAGGGATAGGTTCTACTTTTGCTTTATTTTCTTTTGATGTTTTAGATTCAGTTGAAGCTGATCCAGATGATTTCGATTCAACAGGAAGTTTTTCTTTTTTTGATGGAATGTTTCTTTGCTTTTTAGCATCTGTAAATGGTTGTTCTATTGATGATTTCGAAGATGTCACATCAATTATGCTGCTTGCGGTATCAAAACTTTTAGCGGAGCTTTTACTCGCTTTGATGTTTGCCAAGACAGGCTTAGCTTCGTGAATTTTATTGTCTGATTCATAAATGTTGAGAGATGAAAGCCATTCTTGAAATTCTTTGTCTTGAACACTTGCTCCAGTTTTTCGTTGGGCACGAGCTTTTGGAGCAGCTGAATCGGATCGCACAAGAGGCTGCGATGGTGGTATATGAAGACCTGCCTGACGTTGCTCAAAGAAATGACGTCTTGCATTTAAAAATAATTTATTTAAAATACTATGCGATTCACGTATTGGTTGATCGTATTTTTTCATAAATTCTGGATATCCTCGACAATATCTTGCTCTTAATTCATAAACTTTATCTAATTCAATAATTTCACCTGTTTTCGGTGCATCAACAGCACATGCAAATAATTCAGCTAAATATTTGCATTCATCTGATCTTGTACGTTTTGGATGAGAATCAGCGATTGCTAAATGTACATCACAAATAATACCTTGACTTCCAGCTCCAAATGATTCAATGATATGATCGACTATACTTTCATAAGTTATTTTAGGTTTTACTTGTCTTGGTGAAGATTCATATGATAATGGTTCATCCATTTGTCTGATTTTCAATTGTTTACCCCAATAAGCCTATTACAGAGAAAGAATCAAAATATAAAGTTACTCAACATTTTCAATAATGCAGTTTTCACTGTAAAGAATCGAGTCTACAGTATCAGAATTGCAATCAGACTAGTTGAAATACTAGAACACGGCTGGTTTTCGCCGATGGAAGAATATTTTAGACATATGTCATCGTTTTTCTGATAAAGTTTGTTTCAAGCAAGTTTATGTAGTCTTATCAAAGATAATCAACAAGTGGTATTTCAAAAAGAATGTTTTATTTCCTTATATTTATCCAGACTCTTAGATGTTTTGAACCCAAATACACACCATTATTTTAAAATGTACAAACAAATCTGTATTGCTTCAGTTACATTTGTCTCATAGATATTTTGTTAAAGATCAAATTTAAGTTCGAAAAGAAAACTCGAGTTAGCCTGTAGGGTCGAGCGTGAAAAGTCAAGACATCAACTGTGAGTATCACTTAATAGGTAAATGATTCTTTTTTCCACCCTATGCATACATATGTCACATCTTTATCTCAGAAAAACCAAATATATATAGAAACAACTAGAACATAGTATTTCTTCCTAATGATTTATAAAAACCTAAGGGAAAAACATTAGAATAAATGTTTTTGAAGCCATTGCTAATTATCAATTAAGAATGATCCAACAGAACAGTCTCAGCAATTATTTGAATCGACTAGTTCAAATACACAAAAGACAAGTATAAAAATCTGCCAGTATTCAGAACAAACTTTAGCTCCTAATATCTTTTATCATGCAAAAACAACGAAACTTTATGAACTCGTCAGTTTTTGTTAGTTTTGAACTAATTTTTTTAGACCCGATTGGTTACTACACTAATCGATGCACACAAAACTCACAAGTACAGACATGAAACTAAGAAAACATTCGTTCTGATAATATATTAATGAAAACGCTAATAATAATATTGTAGTGTTTTAATGAAAATAATGACTCATTAATACATTTTATTAAGACTTACCCAGTATTGATCCCCATCTAGATCAGATCCAGACATTTCATTAGGATGAGGTCGTTTTCCTTTGGTTGGAAATACAATACAATCACGTATACATTTTTTCAATTGAGGTACATCGACAGCAGTCAATCGACGAAAATCACCAGGATGTAAGCACGGCATTTTCGCTACTAATACGTCACCTATACACATATATAATTGAAGTAAATTTTTAGCAAAAACCATAAAATACAAAAAAAAACATACCAGTTACAACAATGTATGTTTTATCAATGGTTGGATCAAGATTTTTATACTGAATAAAAACTTGACCATATTCTAATGTACCAGTTTCATCGGCAACACCAAACATATTTCGTGCTTCGTGTAATGGTAATGGAATTCTATTTTTCAATAAGTCGTCCTTGGCCGATGAAAACTTTAGTTTTCGTTGTTGTTCATTTTTATTTTGTCCAACGCAAGTGTTCAAACTTACATTTTGATATGATTCGAAAACTGCATCTGGATTACCCAAATCCGATAAAAGCATGATCACTTGGTTATTGAGTCTAAGTTCAACTAAAAAAGCAAACAAAAAACTATTGTTGTAATATTTGTTTGTTTGTTTGTTTTTGAAAACTTACGTGGTTTACTATATTCGCATACTTCTAATTCCCAATTATTAGATTTGAACTTTTCCATTGATAATCTAACTTTGATATAATAATCATTTAATGTAGATTCAGGATCAATGGATAACATTCCTTTACAACCAGCTATACGAACTTGATAAGCTGATGGTATATCATCTCTTGATTCTAATTGAATATTTAATTTTGTAGCAACTAGACCAGCAATACCCCATGACATTTTTCCAATGCCATCAGTAAACTTATATTTTTTATCGTCAGTTTCAATATCAGCAATAGTTGTTGCTACATATTGCTTATTAGGTGAGAAGTTTTTCTCATATGTAAACGAAACCTATCAAAATATGACAATGAGAAACATTGTTCATTCTTTTCCTGCTCGATCAATAATAGAAAATCTATACATACTCCTGTTGCATGAGATGTTGAAAAATAAAGACCTATTCGTGCTACATATTTGGCAACATTATTTATCAATGAAAAATCTCCCAACTCTTCCCAAGCTTTTTCAATAGGTCTATCTTCAATAGCTGCGAACCAAAATGACATTTCTTTTAATTGACTAGTCGATGTACCAAAGAGACGATACGTTCTACCCATAGCCTTAATTCCATGCATCATTTTCGATTTAAGTCGACGTTTAATTGATATATCGAAATCTTTCAATGCTTGGTTATCTTCTTCTCGAATGTGTACCAGTAAAAACATATCTTCACCACCGAATTGTTTCATTCTTAATGCTCGATTTCCAATCGATGATTCCATTTTTTGATAGATAAGTCGTAATGGTGTCAATGAAATACAACCAATACAATACGAAAGCTTCTGTACAGGATATTCTTGGTCTTCTTTACGCTTCTCTTTCAGATAAGTATCGTATTCATCAAAAATACGCTTTAACATATAACAATGATTTTCTTCAAGTTTTTCCTTAAGATAATAGCACATATTATTAAATAATTCTTTATCAAATGCTATAAATTGATCATGAATTTGTTTCGAATATTTGTCTTGAAATAAATAGCCCATAGAATAAAGCATTTTCAAGGCATAATGCTGTTTATTTGATGCTGATGAAGGTAAATTAAATGGTTGACTATTATTGTTAGCATTTAAAGAAACTTGTCTAAGTGAGACAAAATAGATTGTAAATCTATGAGGACAATTAACAGTTTCTTGTATAAGCTCTGACAGAAAAGCATATGTATGTTCGATTTCATTAAATGAGAGAAGAATATCGGAACTTCTCGATACGATCGTTTCGAATCCATCTTCACCTATTCGACATACTCTAAAACAAAAGAATATAATATAAAAGATTGCTGATGCATGACTTCATGGGACTATAATGTAAAACTAATCGTATTCTAAGAGCATTATCTATTTAGGTGAATCCACAAGTTCGATGTTTAACTTAGACTCATTATTATGTAGTAAGTTGCATAATAGTACTCATTTTAATTTCAAGGTATCTATATTTGATTGAAATGATTTATGAAGAAAGAATTCGATAAGATATTTTTTTTTAATTTTAAATTTACTTTATTTTTACTAATTAACAGAAAATCTATCTACATTACCTTTCATATGTTGATTTATCATTTACTGTCATTTTTCTTTTCATTTTCACAGAATATTTTAACATTAAAACTACACATGGTCGGTCTTTGGTATTGACCAGCACTTTTTTTTGTATCCATTTCACCGGTATAAAGATTTGTCTCCTTCTATCTTTAGACATGATACGAACTGTTTCCGGTGCATCTTTCCATTTAGTTATATCAATATCGTAAATAACTGGATGTGGATCACTATGAATATTAAATGTACTACACGTATACATGGAACCAAAATAGAAAAAGACAGGATATTGTTTGACTTTAATTGGATCATCATCTAACATTGAACGTCTATTGTGAAGAAAATGAAATGGATCTGTTTGCATTGAAAACCAAATATGTGAATACGATTCAGTCGTTACTTGGATAAGTTTATCACGAATATCGTTTGCTTCTCGTCTTGAACATGTAAATATATGTGGTGATGGAGCATCTCTAGCCATTGCATCTGGTTTAAAATGTTGAATACTCAATATATTTTGAAGATTAGCACCAACTGTATGGGCAATTGTTGGAGTAAAGACATTTTCGAATGAACAATGAACCGTTTTTTGCCAATCAGAATAGTGTCGAGCACTAGAAAGTCAGCAGATATTATATAAAAATACAAATACAAATTCAAATTCAAAAACAAATACTATACCAATGTTCGTGCGCCATTGACGACGTTTAATATTAAAAAAATCTATTAGTATTTCAAATTATCGATGAACTAGAAGAATGTTATTGTTGTTGATATTGCTTGTTATGTTTTTAGTATGCTGCAAAATTCGAAGAAAAAGCAGAATAAAAGAAAAAAAACCCACAAAGTGTATGCGTCATGTATATAGTCTACTTATTGTGCAATAACAGTTTCTATAACTATCATCGTCAGTTTTTACCGATTCTTTTTCTCTTAACCTTGTAATGTAATTCCGCTACATTTGATCTTCCAACTATTCTCGCCGCCGTAAAAAAATACTTTACCTAGACTGAAAGGATAGGAACTAGAAGTGGTATATAACTTGTTTGTACCTGCTCGAAGAAAAATAAATATTGCGAATGATTATCTATCTCGTATTACGCAGCTTCGTGACGAATGCTTCCAATTAAATGTTGTCATAGCAATCTTGTCAAAAAAAAATTTTGTCGACCCTCCTGTTGAATTCAGTTAGATGAAAATCAAAGTTAATTTGTTATATACAAAATCAGGTGTGGTGATTGTGGGTATGAGATGAAAGTGTGCGTGTGGGTGAGTCCGAAAATAGACCCATACCCCTACTTACATCCTGACACACTTGCACCTACACCCACACCCTAATTGATTATAATATGTATTTTGTGCTTATTTTTCCTATTATTTTTACAAGACACAAACATCCAGAAAATCCTCAGGAAACAACACCTACTTTCTACAGAAATCGTAGATTCATGAAGTTGAAGATAATGCCATCATGTGTCTAAAAAGAACAAATTATGGATGATATCCTATCATCATATCCCGTTTTCAGGTCCAAGCTCTACAATCGAGTATAAAACGGTTGCATTTTGGTTTCGTAATCAGGCCGAAAACGGCGAGATCTGAACTGTATCTAGTCGGCGTAATAAGAGACGGGAACTATAATTGGAAATTGTTTCGGAAACGGATAATCATACTCGGTCATAGCTGCCGTATTCAGAAAATGACGAGAAATAAGTCGAAATAAAAAACCGAATTTTGATAAAAACTCATCAGATCTGGATGTTTCCTCTCGTATTTCTTTGGTCTGGAATTAAGACTTCTGTTTTACGTCTTTGCATATCAACGTCAGAGATACTTAGTATCGCAGGAGGTCACTTGGTTGACTTTCATGAGTTTCTATACCAATGCTTCGAAATAACAATCTGCTTTACACACAACTAAGCATTAGAACATATTCAATTCGTCAAGTGCATGATGTCAGAGCTGCTTTTTTCTCCTGACTTGTCAGATGAGAATCATCTTTCGATGCATATATATATATATATACTCCTGTTGTATCCGCTAGCAGACGTGCAAAACAAATTGACAGAGTTCAACATAACAACTAGCGAACTCATTAATATAAAGGTCTTCTTTTTTCCTGGTGAGTTGTAACTCAAGATCATTCAAAATGCAATACGATTCAAACCAGAACATGAGCAACGACAGTAATACTGGAAAAAATGCTTATGTTCCACAATTGACTTCAACGATGATATTCAATTCTTTACTTGCATTTGAAATACCATCGTTTTTTTGCTATATTTTCTTCATCGTTTTCATCTTGACTCATAAAAATCTTCATACAGTGCCAAACAATTATGCATTTCTCATGCTCTTGATTGTTCAGTTTCTTGCTACTGCAACTGACATTCCACTGCTTTTATATTATTTTAAGCAAGCTAGGGCACCATTTGGAAGTATTATTTTTTGCTCAATTTGGCGACTGATCGATACTTCTATTGGGACAATGTTACTGACATGGGCTTCATTTGAACGACATATTCTCATTTTTTATGATCGTCTTCTTCATACAAAATGGAAAAATATTTGCTTTCATTAAGCACCACCTTTAATTATAGTTATCTATGGCTTATGTTTCTATATGTATGCTTTATATTTATATCCATGCAAAAATATCTTATCTATCAACTTGTTGACTGCGGTAATGCCTGCTTCAAGAATGACCGAAATCTAATGTTGTGGACAGTAGTGGTTCATCTTATGATTCCATCAGCATGTATTGCTGTATGTAGTGTATCTGTTTTTGTTCATGTGCTTTACTCGAAACGTCGTCTTCAGCAAGCGCATAGTTGGCGAAAGTAGAGTAAAATGGCTTTTCAACTCATTTCTATATCCATGCTCTTTTCTGGAAGTATCGTACTGTTCGAAATCATCAATTTCCTTTATTTCTTTGATGTTCCTAATGTACCATTAGCTGTGGCAGAGTATTACTAGGCTATTGCTTATTTGAATTTATTGTGGCTGCCTTACATATATTTGGTATCAACACCAGACATCTGGACTGCATGCAAAACAAAACTGCACCGTATACTCAGTCGACAAACGATTTCCACAGCCTTCATTGGCTAAGAAACACTGTTGAACTTGTGATTCTATACTGCTAAAATATATTCGTGTAAAATATTAATAATAAAATTTTTGTCTCTTTTTCTTCATCCCGAATAAGGTAATTCAACACATGCCAATGACAGCAAATCTCTTTCTACGAAAAAAGTTTATTCTGAACAATACAAAACAAAGAGTTACATTAAACTAACCGATAACAAAATAGTTTTTTTCTTTGGGACAGAACGACAATAGAGAAGATTTATAGATGTTTTCATAAACATGGCTAAGAAGATCAATCAAACTTGCATGATAATGGCTGTCAAAGTGTCGTTTAAAGTTGATCATAGTGTGGTCTTTGCTGCTTCCAAATTGATTGAAAAGTTTTAGACATTTTCCTGAGTTAAGTCTAGTCTGATACTTACATCAAAATGACCATTCCCTTTTATTTTTATATATTATTGAGTATTCGAATATCGGTTGAGGTCCATTCGGGCAACAATTAATGCTAGACAGTCATGTATGTGGGTGTGTGAGTCTGGTTCTGAATGTGGGTACGGATGTGAGTGTGAGGAGCGAAGAGATACTGGTTAAGCAACTGACAGTTATCGTTTCTCAAATCTTATCTTCTCTAACGATTAGTTTATACCTCTTTCTACAATAAAGACAGAACAATCCAATATACGTGAATGAAGTAAATTGTAGTACATCAGCAAGAAATGTCAATGGTGCTAACTCTTATGGGATTCTTCATGACTTCTATCTCTACCAGGACTCATAGACGGAAGAAATCGAATCAATGAACTCGAAGTATGAACTATTAAGGGCAGTTCAAAAGTAGTGGCAGTGGCACATTAATACTGAATGTAGGTATAGGTAGAGTATGATTGTTGACAAGGCTTGCAGCAAATGGAAATCTAGAACAAAATGTTTTCGTACACTTTATTTATACGAACAAAGTGTATGAAAGTGTTTATAAATTAAGTTTGTTACAATCTTAAAAAATGGAAAGTTGTATTCTTATTTTTTTTCTTGAATAAGGAATATAAATTGATATTTCACAAACAAATAGACGATAAGCACTCGTTAACAGACGGTATACTTTGTTTGTCTGAGTAATGTGTAAAATAACGTATGTTTCAAAAGCAATAGACGTTCTGTACATCTTGCCTCTGTCTGATATACCCGCTATGGCAAGGACTATTAGAAATAGATAAACTATTCATGAGAAGCTTAAACAAGGTCGAAACCACGTATCGCAGCTTGACTCGCATTCACTTCTACACCCACACACTTATCAAAGTATTTCAGTCTATCCTAAATTATGAAGTTTGAATTTACAGTAATCTTTAGACTACATAAGGTTAGTAGCTCTATTGACTATGGCTGATAGTAGACGATGTGTTTACTGATAGTGGAATGTGGGATCATTCGTTCGAAGAAAATAGATTGTTCTCTTTTAGGTTAATGTTACAACACATAAATATCATACCAAAAAAACGTACATGTCTCTCGGACATATCAGGCTAGATGTGTAATCATTTAATTATTGAATCTTCTATAATGGAATAAATTTTTATTCTTCGTGTTCATGAGAAAAATATCGAAGAAAGAAAACAACACGTCTTTGTCTTATGTTTGTTTATGTTGAAAAAGTTTCAAAAGAAACAGGTTTCATAATTGACTAGAATACTATTTGATTCGAAAATATTTTCTCGTAAGTTTGATTTAATCATCATTATTAGGAAATTCTAACAGAAAAAAAATTTTTTTTGTTTTAACAAAAATTAAGGTCAGATTATATTTATTTTCATATTTCTATTAAGAATTGTTCAATGTTGAGTGTAAATACCAGACATTTCATAGAAATATTTAATAAATATTGAAAGTTTTCAATTCTTTGAAAAAATATTGAATAAATTTATTTCAAATAAAAAATTGCCTTGAATTTACTTCATTTATTTTTTAATTTTTTTTAATGTTAATCAGATAAAATGATGTCAAAAGTAGTAAAGTGACATTATTCTGAATAGAAAACCTAAAACCCTTTTCTTTTTATTTGTGATTATTCCTTTTCACTGTTATTCTAGAAGTACCATAGATCCTTGACAACGATTGAAACCGAAAGAATTTCTTTCCTTGTGTAATAGAAAAAAATCATCCCTGAATCGAATTACCATTCTGATTGCTCGTTTGTTTGTGATCTCTAGTTTTCATGATTGAATTTTAAATATTTATTTAATATACTTGCCATAACAGTACATCAAGATAATCATACAATAAATATATTCTATATATAAAAAGGGAACTATTGACCTTTCGTTCAAATATCAAATCGCCATTCGTCTCTTGATAATTGTTGATTGATATAAATTTCGAATCAATTAAGAAATTTAGGATTAAAAAACATTAATGTAAAAGATATTTCTTCTCTGTGTCCGATAAGAATTATTTAGTTTATTTTCTTTTTATCTGAAAAACATGAATAATCAGTTTCAATTGATCAGATTTATCAAAAAAAAAAAGTTTTTTATTAATATGAGTCCATTAATTTGTAATTCATAATCTCATTTTTTTAAATATCAAATATATTCATTTTGAATTTATTTAA